AGGCCCTTATGATGGGGTCTGTCAGTGGTCAGGAACTCTCCTTCTTCTGTTCTGTCTCCTCAGCATTAGGGTTACAGCTATGCATGACCACAGCCTGCATTTTACATGGGTTCTGACATTTGAACTCAGGTCTTTCAGCTTGTGTAGCAGGTGATCTTTCTCTAAGCCATGTACCTTTTTTGTTTTGTTTTTCTAGACAGGGCTTCTCTATGTCATAGCCTTAGCTGTCCTGGAACTAGCTCTTGAAGAACAGACTGGTCTCAAATTCACAGAGATCCGCCTGCCTCTGCCTCCCGCAATTAAAGGAGTGCACCGCCACCAGCCCCCCCCCTTTTTTTTAACTGAATAACCATTATGGGAGTAGGACAAGGTATTTGATTCTGTTTTTGATTTGTGGTCTTTGGAGAAAAAATATCTATTCCTATGTTTTGACTATTAGGTTAATATCAAAATCGGAGAGTTCCTGATACAGTCTACATATGAGTCCTTCATAAAAAAACAAAACAAATGACCTGCATTTCCCCCCTCATTCTGTGAGGTTTTATGTTGAAGGACATGTTTTTTGATTCTAGCGATGTTCACTGTAGGATGCTATTGCTTGCGGTATTTTAGGTGTTATAGCCTGCACACCATGGCCTGTGCAGAGCCATGAAGATTTAGTTCTGTGTTTTTCTTCTAAATGAGTTTTTGGACTCGTTTAGATGTTAGATTCACTTTATTTAGTTAGCCTTTGCATAAGGTGTGACAAAGGGGTCCTGGTTCATTCTTTTGCAGGTGGCTATCCAAGTATTCAATCTCTATTTCTTGAAGAGATTGTCTTTCTCCCATTGGTTGTCTCTGTATCCTGTCAAAAGTCAGTTGCCCGTGTGAGACTGTGTTTATGGCTTCCTAGTTGTATCCCACAGATCTGTGTGTTGGCTTGTGTGTAAATACCACAGCATGCTGACTTCAGTACTGTAGACTGTAGTACTGTAAGATTTGAAGTCAGGCACAAGCCTTCTAACTTGACTCTTCTTTTACAAGATTGTTTTAGTTGTTTTGGGTCCCTTGGGGTTTTGTTGTTGTTTTCTTTTTAAGACATGGCCTCACACGAGCCCTGGTTGGCCTGGAACTTGCTATGTAGACCAGGCTGGCCTCCAAGTCAGAGAGATCCTCTTGCCTATGTCTCAAGAGTGCTGAGATTACCTGGATTCTCCGCATTTCTGTATGAATGTATGCTTCCAGGTTTTGTGAAGAAGGCAGCTGGAAATCTGGTGGGGATTGAACTTTTGAGACAAGTTTTAGGACTGGATTGACCTCATTTTAACTTCGACTCTTAGGAACTACAGGGACGCTCTTCCATCACTGTCAGGGCCCTCTTTGGAGTTTAGAGCATCCCATCTAATAATTCTAAATTTATGTAGTGACTTTAGGTGAGGTTTACTTTTAAATTTCTCTTCTTTTCGATACTATTAAATTGAAATTGTTTCCGTGCAGGTTTTTGTCTTTGTGCAGGTGTACATGCACATGCACACACGGAGGAGGCCGGAGAGCAGCCTCAGGTGTTGCTCAGGGGCCATCCACCTTGGTTTTGTTTGTTTTTGAGAAAGGATCCGTTTGTTTGTTACCTGCAGATCCCTGGCTTGTCGGGTGTCCAGTGAGTCCCAGGGTTGGCTTGTCTCCTCCTCCCCAGCAGTGGGATGAGGTTTCTAGCTGGGCTTTGAAAGAAAACCTCAGAGCGCACCATGCTTGCGTGACAAGCATTCACTACATTGTCTCCTCAGCCCTTGTCATGATTTTTGGTTGGTTCCTTGTTATTCCACAGAAGCAAATGGTTTTTGTATACTGGCCTTGGTGAACTGGTTGATTCTGGTAGGTTTTGGTGGATTCCTCTGAGTTTTCTGATAAGACATTTCATCTACAGGCAGGTGTCACTTGAATTCTCTTTCCAATCTGGGTGCATTTTATGTTGTTGTCTTGCCTAGCACCCTGCGTGCACCGTTGTAGAGAGGGCACAGATGTGGAGCCTTGCTGTGTTCCTGACATTAAGGCATATTCATCAGCTGTCACTGTAGAGAATCATGAAGACAAAGCTCATTTGGTTCCCAGTTCCAAAGTCTCTACGTATCTCCAGTGACGGGGACCATCGTTCATCATGGTGGAGGTTGTGTCATAGTGCAAACTCCTCACCTTGTGAAGCAGGAATCAAGACGAGAAACTAGGCAGGACTGAGCCCCACAATCCTTTTTGAAATCAAAGTTAGTCACTGAAGGATACCCCCCAAGGCCTCACATCCTAAGGGTCCACAGCACTTCCCTGTAGGACTACCCTGGAGACCAAACCTTAAACACACAGGCCTTGGGTGAGGGAGAGAGGATTCGGCATGGCCTCCAAATAGCACTGGAGGAAGAATTCAGTCTTTTACCATCTCTTGTTAGCAGTGAACTTTTTTTTTTCATGCTCTTTAAGACCAGGATTTCTCTCTGTTGCTAGTTTGTTGTATGTTTTTATGGAGGGAATTTTTATCGATTGTTTTTTCTGTTTCTACTGTGACGATATAGTTTTAGCCTTCATTACATGGCTATGGTATAATGTGCTGATTTTGTTTTTGGATGTTAACCCAAACAGACTTTCTCTAGGATACAACAAAAGACAAAAACCACTGCTGGTTCAGTTTGCAGGGGATTTTGTCCCCGACAATCTTAGGCGACTTGAGTGGGTAATTTTCTTGGTCTGGTGTTGACATCAGGGTATGCTGGCCACAAGAACGAATGGAGAAACATTCCACACTCTCTGGTTTGTGAAGAAGTGGTGCTTGATCTTCGTGAAATGCTTGGGGATTCCTAAGTGAAACCGTCTGGATTTGGGCTTTTCCTTGTAGTTACATCTCTTTGGAACTGTAAGTCAAGACTTCCTAGTCTAGACTTTCTGTTTCAAATCCATGTCCGTTCGTGTTTCAGACACTCAGTTTTGAGAGTTCGAATCTTGAGGAGTTTGTCTAAGTCATTTGCCACTTGACTGGTATCAGAATAGTCCTCCGTAATCTGCTGTTTCTGTAAGGCAGGTAGCAGGGCTCGCCTTGCACTCCTGATAACTGGAGAGCCCCTTCTCCTGCTGGTGAATCCAGCTAATAGTTTACAAAATATGTAGAGAATTTAAAGATCTACTTTTACTATATTTGTGTGTGTGTGTGTGTGTGCGCGCGCGCGTGCACGTGCGTGTGCATGTAAGAACATGCACACGAGTGCAGATGCCTGAGGAGGCCAGAGGTATTGGATCCCCATGGAAGTCGTGAGCTGCCTGACCTGGGTCCTGGGAACCTTTCCAAGTGCAGTATGTGCTCTTAACTGCTGAACCATCTCTCCAGCCTCCGTAATTATATTTTGAAAGTTCCATGGACTGTTCCCTGTTGTTTTTATCATGGAGAATGTGTTGATTTTCACTCTAACTCTCATTTATCCATTAAGGAAGGCTGTATTCTGGCTGACATGAGAGTTAGTCAGAGTTCAGGGTCTTGGGAAAGAGTTTGTTATTCTATCAGATTGCCCTGTGGGTGACTGTTCAGCTCATCATTTCGGAACAATTGAGAAATAATTAATTGGCTCGGGGATGGGTGGCCATCTGTGGCTTACTATAGTGATGTGGAAAGGATGGTTCCTGCTGATGCCCATTTTCTGGAGCACAGAGGTTGGTGGGTATAGAGGAGGGAATAGGAACTGTCAAACTAGCAGATAGAAAACTTCAACGATAACTGTATTCTAAATATAGAACTCACAGCTTCAATGTCATCAAGGGGATATTTAAATTATCCTGCTTTCCTTAAAACACAGTGAAACAAATTATATGTAACTAGGTCTCTACAGAGCTCCTGGCTGACCTGGAAGTCACTCTGTAGATCACAGAAATCTGCCTGTCTCTGCCCCAGAGTCTGGGCCTAAGGGCATGTTCCTCTACACCTGGCAGGAACTAGCTTTTATACGATGTCTATACTGTTGGGTCAAAATACACCTAGTTAACCTAACTCAGTATTCTGGCAACTGTCACTGGAAGAGAGCATTGATCTGGGAGCCTAAAGTTGGGATGTGAAGCAAATGCTGATTCTTTGCAGCCCATGAAGACTCAAGGGTTCTCTAACATGGCTGAGCACCTGGCTCGATGCCACCAGTGGCCAGGGTTGCACAAGTTTCACATGCTGGCCTCCCTGGATGGCCATAATCACTGTATGACACTGAAGCTCGTCACTGTGTTTGGAAACGACCACCCAAGATCTCTGGACTCTCTCTTCATTGTTTCTAACAAGTTATTGGCCATTGATTCGTTGTTCTACTTCATCTCAGTCTTTCGTATGAGGTCATCCCTCATTTTAGTTGACAGGATTGGCTCTGGCCACACTTCCTTGCCTTGATTTTCACCTCAAGTTGCTGTACAGACCTTATGCTACAGTTGTGTGAGTTTGGGCTCTACAATAATAATAGTAATAATAATAAATACAAATTAAAAAATGGAGCTTTACTTGGGGTCATGTGACTGCCATGTGTTTATAATGTGACCTGTGCATACTGGATGTAACTTTATAAAAATGAAAGTGAATTTACAGAGCCGTGTTGAGACTCCTGATGCAGTTTTTAAAAGATATCATAGTTAAAGGATGAATTTTAATAACTGATGTAAATGTGCCTCCAAGAACGCACGCCGTGTTTCCTAAGGGCAGATGTCGCACCTGTGAGTCAGGAATGATCATGGTCCCCTAAGTGAATGCCACACTGGTTTCAAAGGCGTTGCTGTGTGCAGGGCTGTAGGCTCTCTGGTATCCCTCGTGGGGAAGCCGCTGCCAGGAGGTAAATTCACACCACATTTTGAGCACTAGCGTTGGCATCCAAACCCAGATCTGACGTCATAGCTCATTCTCTCATTCATCCTTAGTGATCTCCGAGTTGACAGAGACTCTTCCCTCCTTTGGGAAACTGGAAATGAACATTGCAGCATTCAGGCTGGGACACTGAATTACAGTCAATGCACCAAAAATGCAGCTCATTTTTTTTTTTATTTTGGCTTTTTAAAATCACTGTTTATTCCATTTGGTAGAGGATTTTTTTTCATACAAATATTTGCAACAATTTTGAATTTCCCAAAACCATACATAGACGATAAATACCATGCTATTAAAGTATTAAATTTGTACAAAAATACTTTACAGTTTAATACTTGTTTGTTACAAACAAAAATACATATTTAAGTGACTCATGATCTTTTTTTATTTTTTTTTTCCTTAACAGGATTCTGTTCTATACTTTCTTGCCCTGGCAGTTCTGAAATGTGTTTGAAATCATATGTTTCTTTGCACAGAAAAAGATGAATAATTTTCCTTAAACAAAGGACACAGTGTTTGGATGCTTTGTCTGTGTGGGTGTATTAGTGACCAAAATGAACATGTGTGGAAAATAATTGCTTTGATATTCTACCATCAATATACAGATCTCTATATTTTTAATATTTACCAAATAACAGTTATTAGTATAGCTATTCAAAATATCTGAACAAATGACAACAGTTGCCAACAAACATTAAAGCAACTGTCACAGTTATTTTATTGCTTTGGGGAGGGTGATTGGCAATGAGATTTTGTGAAGATGTATTTACAAGTTCAGCAAGTGGCATGGCTCAGAACAAAAGGTAGCCCCGTGTCGTTAAGTACGTGTGCTGTGCACCCTCGGTGTGCTGATCTGCAAACATGAGCTAGATGAGTTCTAGTGGCCTACCCATAAAGTGAACCTCATTTCATTAAACTCTTCATTCATTCTTAAATTCTTTAGTCTTGGGATTTTAAAAATAGGATCATATCACTAATTCTCCGAGTTACTACACATTCTAATTCATTATCAGAGAGTTTCAACTATTTAAAAAAATGTGTCTTAAAGGGGGAAAAAAACAGGTCACAAGACATATCCTGTTTGATCATCCGTTGCATAGGGAGTAGCATACATCTTAGTTAAAATCATTCCTACATTTACCACCACCTATTATGATCTCCTGCGTGCATCGTTGCGGAAACGTTTTAAGAAAACCTAATGCTATACCCATGCCCCTCCCACTGTGGCAGGCCTAGCGGTTGACCCATCTGCTCCCCTAGCAGAGCCAGCTCTATGTGAATCCACATTGCTTCTGTTCTTACGTTAATGGCTGTAGAGTAAGAAACGCATCCTCAGGGAAATTATCATAGAGAATATTGTCAAACGGATGTTTCTGTAAAAAGTGACAGGAAGATGAACTGTAAAAATGTTTCCTCCATCTTAAGTCGTGGGAAGGGGGCGGGCTGCTTCCTTTTGATTCTCTACCATTGGGCCTGTCAGAGAAGGGCCTGCCAGTTACTGGAGCGGCCATGGTAAAAGAGACCTCTTCAGGTCGGGAAAGGATGTGAACATGAGCCATGAGGGACATTTAAAAGACCCCTGTGCTTGCAGTTAATGCCACGCGACTCTCTGTGCCTCAGCTGTCACAGAAATCTTAAAGGGATTTTTAGCACCATGTAGATATTGTCTTTGTCCTGCTTTGTGAAGGTGTTGCTATAATGTGTTAGTGGGTTCTCGGGTCTCTAGATTACCACCGTGGCTGGGCTGTGGGAAGAAAGCGCTGTTCTGTCCACTCCAGTCTCCCGGCAGAGCCTGCTGTTCTATTGACTTCTGGGAGGCCAGTGGGTTTCTGCTAATGACCAGGTCCAGCTTGTTGCCAGATTCGGCTATGAGCGGCACGACCAGGCAGCAGTCAAAGTCTCTCGTCCGGACGTGGTTAACCTGCCAGGCCAAGAAGAGCCACTTTCAATGACCGGTGCAGCCACTGTGCTCCCAAACCCAGAGGCCGGCGGCTGAATCCCAAGGGGGACCACACCATTTGGCTACTTGGTTCACTGTTAATCCTCTGCCACTGCCTGTTGGGAGCTGAAGAGCAAGGCAACATCCTTCTGTCCCCACACTAAGACCACCCCGGTCAGTCTCCTGTTGCTCAGTGCTACCCCAGTTTACAGCAGAAGAAAGCAGTTTAGACTGGGGTGGGGGTGGGGGGCTGCTTTGCTGTAGACTAGCAGTGGGCAAGGGCTCCAGCAGGGTAGCCGCAGGCAGTCTGGCTGCCATGATGCTTAGAGCTACCTCGATTAAGAACAAACCTACCCCCTCCTCAACTGACACATGCTGTAGGCACTCCAATTCTCTTTCAACACTGTGAACTTGGGAATTGAACCTCGGGGGTCACACAATTAGACCAACACTCTACGATGGAGTTGTAGTCCCCATCCCACAGCAGCACTTGTTAAAATCACCTGCATTCAATTCCCAGTCCTGGCTTCCCATTCTCTCCCGTGCTTTTGAGGACAAGTGTGGGGCGGGCACTTTGAAGGGCCCAGTTTAAACTCTGGGAACCAAAGCGTCCTCAGCTCCTTGGCTGCTGGCAGCTTACTACTCCAGACATCTGCCTGTCCCCTAGCTCTCCTCTGATGTAACATTATGGCAAAGCTTGCTGCCCAGGCCTGAGAAGAACACCACGCCCATGTCTCGAGCTGCTGGCTAGAGATGAACACTTGGGGCATCTTTGCCTCTTCTCTGGCTGCTTCCTGCTTTCACTACTTTCACTACTCAATGGACCACTCAGACATTTGCCCTCAAAATTCAAGTCTCCCAGTACAGACAGCTAGGTGCCACCTCCTCTCTTGTCTTCACTCTTCATTCTTATCTGTGTAACTTGGGGGCAGAGGATTCCCCTACTGGCTCACAGTACTCTCCCGTCCGGGATCCATTATTGAGCAACACTGAACTATTACAGAAGTGTATTTGCACTCTGCATATCGACATTTGCACTCTGCATATCGACATTTGCACTCTGCATATCCAAGGACTGCCCACGCCCAGGCCTGGCTTTCTCCCAAAGTAGTGGGGGACTGAGAGCCAGGACCATACACAGCATACACTGGACATGGGATGGACAAGAGCCACCAGGGCCTCCTCTATAAATGTATGTCCCACATAAGGACCTGTAGTTACTGAGACAACTGGGAGAATTTGTCTTTAAACCTTTACCCAAGTCAAAGATCCAAATCCCTGTCGATATTCATTAAACCAGGCTTGCTGGCTCCTCTTGTACCTGATGCCCTGTTAAACCTGGGCCCTCATTTCTCACGGAGCACTCGGCTTCCCTCGGCTTTGGTCCTCTGCTGTTTTCTAAGTTCTTCCATGCTCCCTCCATGCTTCTCTTCCCCTTCTAGCCAGGCGCTCACCATGGGTACCTTTGTCTAACCCCTCCTTCCAGAATTCTTTAGCCCTGGCTGTTACACCGTTTTTAAGCAACAGATCAAACTTAAGAACTGTGTCGCATCGGAATGGGCTGAAGCTACGAAAGACTTCGTCCAAAACAGGTAGGTAGCTTTAGCTACACTTTCCTGGTCTCCTTGTGAACACCCGCTTCTCCACCATGTCCCTGTTCATTCACGCTAATACTGTATTGCTTCTCTCTCTCTCTCTCTCTCTCTCTCTCTCTCTCTCTCTCTCTCTCTCTCTCTCTGTGTGTGTGTGTGTTGTAGGTACATGTGAATGTGAATGTGTTTTTGTGTGGAGGTCAGCGACAGATATCAGGGATCGTCCTGGTTTGTTCTCCTCCTTTCTTTCTTTAAGACGGGGCCTCTTACTGACACTGTAGCTTAGTGGTTTGGCTAGACTGGCTGGTCAGCGAGCTCCAGGGCCACATCTAGGCTGAGGTTTGAGGAATAAACATTCAAACGGAAAGGACAGCTCAGTGTCAGAAAACTCAGGAAGTTGAGATAGAATCCTTTATCCAGCTGTTCGCTGCTGCTGGCGTCATAGTTCAATGACAAGAGGAGAGTGGAAGGGTCCAGAGTATGAAGGAGAATTTGGAGGGCATTGCTGCTTGTAGGTCAGAGGCAAGGATTCAGGACTCCCTCTGAGGTCTTACCTGTAAGAGCCTGTCATAGGGCTTCAGGCCACCAAGATCCCCTGGCCCAGCTGGGCGGATATTCTTGACATACACTCCTTTCTCCAGCAGGCCATCTGCCACGCTGAACCCAAAGTCCTCCATGCCAGAGTCCTTGTATAAGGTCACCTGGAAAGTGGAAAGTGTGAAAATGTGGAGGTTAGCCTAGCGGGAGCCGTTTGCTGCTGAAGTCTCTCGGGTCAGACACCCACCCCTGCTACTTTGCTCCTACCCCAAGAACATCCTTGGAATCTAAAGTCTCAACCTGAGCAGCCAAAGGAGGACAAATAAGTCACATCTTTCTTTTATTGTTATTGTTCCTCCTCACTAAAAATGTGCATGCATCATTGCTGTAGGAGGCCCTTTTGTCTTTGGGTTGCTTTCATTGGTTAATAAAGAAACTTCTTTGGCCTTGTTGATAGAGCAGAACTTAGGTAGGTGGGGAAAATTAAGCAGAATGCTGGGAAGAAGAAAGCAGAGTCAGAGAGACGCCATGGATCTGCCTGAGATAGATGTGCTGAATATTACTGGGTAAGCCACTGCCACATGGCGATACAGAGATTAATAGAAATGGGTTAAATTAAGATGCAAGAATTAGCCAATAAGAAGCTAATGGGCCAAGCAGTGATTTAATTAATACAGTTTCTGTGTGGTTATTTCATGGCTAAGCTAGCCGCATGGCAGGAATGAACAAGCGGCCCTTTCTTGCAACACATCATGCGTATTCTCTCTTCTCTCTCCTCTCTCTCTCTCTCTCTCTCTCTCTCTCTCTCTCTCTCTCTCTCTCTCTCTCTCTCTCTCTCTGTGTTGTTTGCATGCATGTGTGTAGGTCAGAGGACAAAGTCAGGTACCTTGGTACCCTGATCTATCATCCTCAGCTATATTCTCCTGAGACAGGTTCTCTCACTGAACCTGGAGCTTGCCGTGTTCCAGCAAGTCTGACTGTCATTAAGTCCCATCAGTTCTATCCCTTACTGTCTCCCACGCAGTAATTGGGTTACAAGCATGTACTGCCACACCTGGCATTTTCTTGGGGGCTAGGGATCCCTACTCAGGTCCTCAGGCTTGTATAGCAGGAACTACTCTTACCCATTAATCCACCTCTCCAGACTCCACCTCCTCCTGGCAAATTTCAGTCACTAGGCATAAGACACAGTGGGCAGTTTGATGTCTAATGTCTCCCTGGAACAGCCCTCAAACTGGGAGGGAAGCCAGGGATGAGTGATGTTGAAGGATAACCTTTTCCTGCCTCCCACCAGCCTGGTGCTCTCCTACAAACTGTATTCTACACTGCCTCTCCATTTGAACCTGTGCCACGATGTAACACTGTTGTATTTGCTGAGATGCCCATGTAGCTCATCAACAGAGCTCTTTCTAAAACACTCCCAGGCAACCTAATAAAACATCACGTGGGGATGGGCTAGTTCTGTTCACTTGCCCAGTGTTTTTTAGCAGCTCAAGGTGTCTACCCTCCCGCGGTATAGCTGATACCCTGCACTACACCTGAGGGCAGCTCCCTACAGCTCCACCCCTCCCCCAGCTTCACTTCTTCAAGAGGCAGCCTGAGGTGAAAGAGAAAACCATGTGCACACCCACAATATGCTTCCTGAACCTCTGACCATGTTCTAAAGATTGGGCTGAATGCTGGAACAGGAGTAAACAACAGAAACGAGAGGCAAACCCACACTGAGCTTCCTCATTCGGCACTTTCCATGCACATGTGCTATGAAGTGGGTGCTGCTTTATTAAGGATTATTAGGTACCCTCCAAAGTCTCGTTATATTTCAGCAAGGATCTGGGCTTACTTCACAAACTAATCATTACATACGCACGCACACACACATACACACAAACACACACACACACACACTCCTGTCAAATAGTAGAAAAAAAGCAAACCCCTCAGAGCTATACAAGGCAAACACGACAGCTAGACCTTTTATAGCAGGCTTAGATTTTTATATCCAGTTATTTGACTGAGGAGAGGTATGGACCACTGAAGGAAACACAAAAGGGGTCAGTGTGGGGATTTTATTTCACTGAATAGAAAGCTAAAAGCAAAACAAAACAGAACAAAAAGCAATCAAGCTTCCTGGGTCAATACTACTTACCAGCCCACTCTGTGGTCTGTGGTTATAGTCGTTTCAGAGGTGATGGAATTCAATTTTATGGAGGGTAAGCAATCTGCCCGGGACCATAGAGGTAAGGGATGGTGGGGCAGGTCTGTCAGAATCTAGATGCTCAGTGCTTAACCAGCATGCTTCACCGGTGACCATATGCATATTCCTATGCTATAGTGAAGGTGTTTGTAGTTGTTCAGATTTTTAAATGCCTTAAACAGGACGGTGTTTTATAATTCATGGCACCTGGGGTCCTGGTATCTAAATATCCCATCCTTCTTACCTTCCTAGTCCCTTTCCTCCAGGTCCCCCAAAAAGGCTTGGAACTGAATAAGGTGTGTGTGTGTGTGTGTGTGTGTGTGTGTGNTTCACTCTCCCTCTGTCTGCCTCTCTCTCTCTCTTCTCTCCTCTCTCTCTCTCTCTCTCTCTCTCTCTCTCTCTCTCTCTCTCTCTCTCTCTCTCTCTCTCTCTGTGTGGTTTGCATGCATGTGTGTAGGTCAGAGGACAAAGTCAGGTACCTTGGTACCCTGATCTATCATCCTCAGCTATATTCTCCTGAGACAGGTTCTCTCACTGAACCTGGAGCTTGCCGTGTTCCAGCAAGTCTGACTGTCATTAAGTCCCATCAGTTCTATCCCTTACTGTCTCCCACGCAGTAATTGGGTTACAAGCATGTACTGCCACACCTGGCATTTTCTTGGGGGCTAGGGATCCCTACTCAGGTCCTCAGGCTTGTATAGCAGGAACTACTCTTACCCATTAATCCACCTCTCCAGACTCCACCTCCTCCTGGCAAATTTCAGTCACTAGGCATAAGACACAGTGGGCAGTTTGATGTCTAATGTCTCCCTGGAACAGCCCTCAAACTGGGAGGGAAGCCAGGGATGAGTGATGTTGAAGGATAACCTTTTCCTGCCTCCCACCAGCCTGGTGCTCTCCTACAAACTGTATTCTACACTGCCTCTCCATTTGAACCTGTGCCACGATGTAACACTGTTGTATTTGCTGAGATGCCCATGTAGCTCATCAACAGAGCTCTTTCTAAAACACTCCCAGGCAACCTAATAAAACATCACGTGGGGATGGGCTAGTTCTGTTCACTTGCCCAGTGTTTTTTAGCAGCTCAAGGTGTCTACCCTCCCGCGGTATAGCTGATACCCTGCACTACACCTGAGGGCAGCTCCCTACAGCTCCACCCCTCCCCCAGCTTCACTTCTTCAAGAGGCAGCCTGAGGTGAAAGAGAAAACCATGTGCACACCCACAATATGCTTCCTGAACCTCTGACCATGTTCTAAAGATTGGGCTGAATGCTGGAACAGGAGTAAACAACAGAAACGAGAGGCAAACCCACACTGAGCTTCCTCATTCGGCACTTTCCATGCACATGTGCTATGAAGTGGGTGCTGCTTTATTAAGGATTATTAGGTACCCTCCAAAGTCTCGTTATATTTCAGCAAGGATCTGGGCTTACTTCACAAACTAATCATTACATACGCACGCACACACACATACACACAAACACACACACACACACACTCCTGTCAAATAGTAGAAAAAAAGCAAACCCCTCAGAGCTATACAAGGCAAACACGACAGCTAGACCTTTTATAGCAGGCTTAGATTTTTATATCCAGTTATTTGACTGAGGAGAGGTATGGACCACTGAAGGAAACACAAAAGGGGTCAGTGTGGGGATTTTATTTCACTGAATAGAAAGCTAAAAGCAAAACAAAACAGAACAAAAAGCAATCAAGCTTCCTGGGTCAATACTACTTACCAGCCCACTCTGTGGTCTGTGGTTATAGTCGTTTCAGAGGTGATGGAATTCAATTTTATGGAGGGTAAGCAATCTGCCCGGGACCATAGAGGTAAGGGATGGTGGGGCAGGTCTGTCAGAATCTAGATGCTCAGTGCTTAACCAGCATGCTTCACCGGTGACCATATGCATATTCCTATGCTATAGTGAAGGTGTTTGTAGTTGTTCAGATTTTTAAATGCCTTAAACAGGACGGTGTTTTATAATTCATGGCACCTGGGGTCCTGGTATCTAAATATCCCATCCTTCTTACCTTCCTAGTCCCTTTCCTCCAGGTCCCCCAAAAAGGCTTGGAACTGAATAAGGTGTGTGTGTGTGTGTGTGTGTGTGTGTGTGTGCATCCTAATAAAATCCACACCTCACACACTGGTGTTATGGGAGGAGTTAAGTGGCATGACTGACAGCTTGCCTTTGGCCAAAGTAAATCGCATCATGAAAAAGTCTAAGTTTTGTTAGTGCCCTGGGCTCAGCTATGTGTTGCAGCTTCTGGAGAAAGGTAGTGTCTTCTTGTCCACTGCTCTATTTCAAAGCTCTAACCAGGTGCCTGTCACGTGGCAGTATATTGGGCTGAATAGAAGGAAATGGCTTTCTGGCATTCCGTGCTCTGGCTAACTGGTCTTGCCGTGCCACACGCTTATAAGCCAGTGCAGAGGTGTGTGAACACGAAGCGGGATTTAATTCTAGGTTCAAAGCCCCCTCTGCCAAGGCTCTCTGCAGTTAGACACTGCCCAGTGCCATCACGGCTGGACAGGAAGATGCTCGCTGGTGACACTGTACAGCCACAACAAGAGAGCACACTTCTGATACTGGAGCCAGCCTGCTCCACCTTGTGACTGAGGAACCTTGGATTTGGGGACTGTGTGAGTGACTAACTGCAGGGCCATTGTCAATGGAAGCTGAACTACATACTTATAACGCCTGTGAGACCTGATGTTTCAACAGGAAAAAGGATGCTATTGTCTCGACTAAGTGTGTGTATGTGTGCATGTGTAAGTGTGTGTATTGAATGTATGTGTGTGTATGAGTGGTGTTTGTGTATGTGTGTGTGAATGTGTGTGTATGTGAGTGTGTGAGTGGTGTGTGTATGTGTGAGTGTGTGTGTGTATATGAGTGGTGGGTGTTTATGTGAGTGTGTGTGTGTGTGAGAGAGAGAATGTGTGTGTGTGTGTGTGTGTGTGTGTGTGTGTGTGTG